GTTCCGGCAGCGCCGCCGCCATCGGGAGCGCGGTGCCGATGGGTGCTGGTCCGTGACAGCGGGGCTGCTTAGCGGGGACACGTGCAGGGAGAGCGCTGGCGCTGCCCTGCGCGGCGGGCAGGCGAGGCCGCGGCAGGGCCACAAAGCTCGGCTCTCTCGGACCGGTGGGCCTCGGGCACCGCAGCGGGTCCGTGTCCGCGCCTGCCTCGGGCTGCACCGGCCTGGCCTCTTCTCCTCACGGCTGCTGGCTGGGAGCCACCGCTCCGGCCGTCAGCTGCGGCATGAGCGAGAGCCGGGTTTCTTGCGGCAGGAGTCCTGGGCGCAGAAGTAAACGCGGCCTGTCGGCAACGGGGTTTTGCCCAAATATCACAGCGCCGCGTGGGTGTTCCCCACCCTCTTCATGCCACGCTGCGCGCCCCGAGTTTCCCTGCTGGCTCTGCCCGTGGCGGAGGCCTTGTCCCGCTTGTCTGGAGGGACCAGAGATCTGCGGCGGGCCTCTGCTGAAGAGCGTGCCTGAGGAGCCTCAGGAGCATTTTTAATAATTTTTAGTCCAGGAGGATTCTGGTAAAACCCTGACAGTGTGCTGGTACGGCATTTCAGGACACTGCCAGCACGCTCAACTTCCACTTCTCTGAATTTACTCACTTACAGTAATCATTTTTTTGTGATTGAAAAAACAGCAAAGGGTTCAGGAAAGATTCAGAGATTAAAATCCGCCTGAAACTCTGTTGACCGAAGTTACCAGAATCTAGTGAAATACTAATTAAGAAACTATTTGCTGGCCGTATAAAGGAGGTGAATGCAGTCCGTGTTCTTGATTGAGATTTTTTACAGTGGTTTTCAGCCTGTGTTTTCAGACTCTTGGGCACTCTGTGGACCATTTCTAAAGGTCCATGGAATAAAAGAAAGACAAGAAACCCTGTTCCCAAACAGAGAAGTCTGCGTTTCTTATGGAAAATTTGCTAAGATCTGAAAATTAAAAAAGATTGAAGGTTAAACACTGCAGTAGGCTCCAAAAGAACATGCAAACAAGAAAGGTGTAAACTTTTTGATAGTAGCTAATGATCACTAAGCATAAGCATATTTTACCTGGGGACATGGTATATTCTTGTAGTCTTTAACTCAAGAGTAAATTGTCTTCCTTAAAGATCAGCTGCTAAGCGAATAGAAATGATGGCCTTGATGGGGAAACAACAGAGGGGGCTCCTTGTTTCCGAGGAGCTAGAGGATGTTGCATTAGATCACTGGAATGGTTTCTTCTGGCCTTAAAGCATTTAAGTCTATGAAGTACATTAAGCGGTCATGATGTCCAACACATATTGCCAGACTTCACATCCAGTCTGGAGAGGCGCGGAGCAGCCTAAACCCCACCACTGAAATAAGGACATTGAGTTTAATCTGCCTTTCAGAATCAGGTTTGTTAATTGCTCCTGTCTGATTCCAGCAACACATGTTGTAGTTTCATGTTACTCATTTAGCAGTAATTAAGTCTGATTTTTACACTGTGCTAATGTAAGATATCATCTTCCAGGCAGTTAGTAAATGTGCAATTTTGCCCCGTCTTACTTAGTGGTAGCAACAATTAACGCAGGTTTTAGTATCAAGAGAAAAGTTGACGTAAATAAAGCTGTTCCAAAGTGCCTGCCTTTTACCTACCATTTCATATAATTGTGAAATGCTTGGGGGTGCTGAAATGATGTTGGTTTATTTGTGCAAAATGGCTTAAATCCCGAACTGTGTTGTCAGTAAGGCATTAAAGGAGAGAACTGAGGGTTGTTTTGTCCGAAAGCACCCCCCAGGCTGAAAGCCTGCTTTCCCCCCAGCGAAGGCGTGCTGTGCGGACAAGCCGGGTGGCAGATGTCATTCCGGCTGGCCTGCCCCAGGCTGCGCTGGCCCCTGCGCAGGTCTGGCCGCTGCTCCGGGCTGTCAGGTGCTGGCTTTGGTCCCCACGGACACGGGTGGGTGCAGCCCTGCCGACAGCGCCCTGCGGTGCCGGAGGTGTCCCGGGAGCTCCCACGGGTGGAACAGCAACCAGCAAACGCACGTATGCATGCGTGTATACAGGTGTATACACACACATACAAAAACACAGTTTCAATTAGTAGCACAGTGACTAAAATTCACACTCCATAAACACCCAGTCCTGTTGCCACCATCAGTTCATCTTTTCTCCTTATGAATCATTAATGTTTGTTACTGAACTATCCTAATCCTTATTTGCAGTAGGAAACTCCATTCCCCTGTAAAAATATTTTCTCAGGCTGCACGTCTGTCTTATCTGTAGTATAGTTGTTGTGCTTTTAGCTCCCGTGCATTATCTGGCCTCTATCTTGATTGCTTTCCAACATTTGGAGCTGCATTATTAGGGAGATTTTCTTGCAAGTGACTTCAGTGGTCCTTCCCGTGCGTCAGCTCTGCCGAGGACACCCCGTGGCACCCCGCAGTCCAAGGAGCAAACGCCCGCAGAAGCCCCGTCACGGGGCTGCGTAAGGGGAAGGCAAAGGCCCCACGCAAAAGGGCTTGCGGGACCCCCCCGACACTTGCCACAAAGGAGAGGGCTGACATCTGCAGCCCCGTGGCCCAGGGCCAGCAAGGCGGCAGCGAGCACGGCACGGCCGAGCGCGGGGGCTTCTGTTCGCCTGCGCCTTCCCGCTGTGACTGGCAGCAGTCGCTCAGCTCCTCTGCGTTGTCTCTGGGATTGTGTAATGGAAAATGCATTTCATTCAAGGAAATACGCTCCGGGATTATGAACGGGTGCTGGGAAAGATGAACTTTCTTTGCCGTTCGTTACAGTAGTGGTGTGCATATACATGGGGCTTTCTGTAATCTTGGTGTATAGCCTAAAGATATCCACAAAACTTCAGGTATTTTTCTTTGTATTGGGTATATCTTCCTATGCAAGGATCACTCAGATGTCAGTTGAATAACTATGAAAATGAGTTTCAGAGCTTCGGACTGCAAGCAGGAGCGATGAGTTGGGAGGGGGGTAGCAGCAAACCATTTATCCCAGCCTTAAGGGGAGACAAAAATCATCGTACAAATTAGATTTCTGGCAGATCTTATAACAGGAATACATTTTAACTTTCTGAGCAAAACTGCTGTATAAGGTCAAACTATATTGAATTAATTTGTTTCCTGATAAAAACGGTTTCTTACTTAAATTAAGGCTGTCTTTTGCCTTGTCATTGTTCCTGTTTGGATTTATTTCAAAGATGAATGAGTAAAGGAAAAAAAATGTAATTTAAGGAATCTGTTTTTTTCCAGAAAAGGATTCAGTTCTCCTTTTCTTTTTTATTTTATCATTGTCATCCCTTTAGTGAAAGTCTGGGCTCCAGTGTTACAATTTTAAAGAACAGCTAGTGTGTAAAGCTTCCATATTAATGAATTTGCATTTTCTGAAGTCTCATGGCACGTGAGATCACAGCTCACATGAGAAGCCATGAGAAGAGAGGATTCCCTTCCGCAGGAGAGGGGGTGTCTCTTCCCTGACCTCCCTGTGCCGCACACCATGCCTGAGCGGCTGCGCAGCAGTGCCCTTCGCTCTGGCTTGCCTTTCATTTTAGAGGTTTTTACAATGGAGCCACAGCTGGGGGGACTTGGGGCTAGTTTTCAGAAGTCACCTTCATGCCCAGCTCCCTGTACCCCAGCTCCCTCCCAGCTGGGACCTCGCAGGTGGGGGCACCCAGAGCAAGAGACCCCATTGAGAATTCACCAAGCAGGGGTGTCTTACGTGCAAAGCTGGTTTACTTGGTAACAAGGAGGTACAGTAGGGTTTGGATGTACATTGTACATCGAATTATTTTTTATTATTTCTTGATGTCAATGGTTGTCAAATTGATGAATGTCCTCTCATCCAAATAAAATCAGTGCATGAAATTTGTTGTTTACCACATCTGAATTTAATGGAAAGTTTAGAAACAAGTCAATTCTGGTTTTCTTGTTTGGTTTACACAATTGCAACAAAAATGCGTCATGTGTAAGAGGTCCTCGTCAAAGATGCTGTATTCCAGGTCTAGTGAAAGCACAGAGCTGGTGCTGCTTTCCTGGAAATAATGCTACTTTGACCACACATCTTGCTGTGCGCTCAGTGCTTCTTGTGCCCCTGCACAGCAGAAGGAGAAGCGAGCCTTGAACGTTGTCAGAGTAGCACGTGAGCTTTTGTAGGCTGGCTGCTGCAGCGGGACCACGTTTCTTTTGCTGGGTTTCTGGCTCCGCAGCCGCCTGCTTCCTGGGGGCAGGTCTGGGGGCAGGGGAGAGCCGTTCCGAGTCCCCATGGGCATAGCTTTCACTGAGCAAAAATGTGCTCATAGAAGAAGGGCATGCTGTACTTTCAAAATAACTGATGTTTGCTCGCCTTGAGCAACTTCTAAAAGAAACTATTTTTTAGAGTTGTACTGCAGAAATACATGCTTTAGAAAAGTAAAGCAAGCAGCGGATACTAGAACTGTCAAGTTGCTCTGGTCAGTATGTGATAGCCTAGAGAAGTAGCCGAGGGTGTTCCTCCTAGGTCTGTAGCGTCTGTTGTGTTTGTTTTAGCCGATGACATAAGGAGCAAAGATAGGCCTATAGCTTCTAAGCCAATTGTGTCAATTCTCTTCTTCAGGGTCGATGTTCAAGGGAAAACTGCAAATATCTTCACCCACCACCACACTTAAAAACGCAGCTGGAGATAAATGGACGCAATAACCTGATTCAGCAGAAGAACATGGCCATGCTGGCCCAGCAGATGCAGCTTGCCAATGCCATGATGCCTGGTGCTCCGTTGCAGCCTGTGGTATGTGCGCTTTTTGGCTTCGATCAATGAGTACAGTGAGTTGTAGTAGAAGTCAGTTAGCAGGTGTGCTTACATGCCTGTAAAATCCCACAAACGTCAGTAACTGGTGCAGAAATCAAATACAATGAAATGCTGGTCTGTATGTCTTTGTACTGCTTAATTCTCCCTTGCCTGCAGTAATACTGTTAATTTAATTAATTTTGTTAATCTTTTGCTAATTTAATTCATTTTTTGCAACTTCTTTCTTAAAACTAAGAAAGTAAGTGATCCGCATGGGATTTTCGTAAATAGACGTTTCCTTTGCAATTTCACGTGCTCTAGGAAATTCCTGGGTTTGAGAAGATTCCCACTGGATGTTTTGCATTCACTCAGGGGAACCTTCTCAGGAAATTACTTGCTGGAATTGGACTTTGATTTTTACAGCATACTGTCAGGCAGAGCAGAAAGCTTGCCCCAAGTGATGTATGGTGCATGTCAGTCTGACCTGCTCGATCTACCGCTCAGGGTTGGCAGGAAGAAGTAGTACAGATAATCATACTTTCTACAAAAAGCCAAGGGGTGAGGGAAGGCGAATCTATCAGAAATCTCTCATCTGGTCCCAGTAAAATGTGATCATATATTACATCATATCTGTTCCTCTTATACCTTAGGAAGTAAGCGCAGTGCAGTGTTCCACAAAGTTGAATGCCGTGGCTGAGCTTCTGGCTCTGCAGTAATACCTCGTTTCAGCGAACGTAAAGATGATTGGCATCAACCCGCCATGCACATACGCATTTGGGAGCTGAACACCCTGTGCCAGATCCCTCTCTAATGCAATCCAGAGAGGTCATTTGAGCTAACCTATGGATAAATTTGGCCCAGAACCCTTTTGATATAAATTTCTAGCTCAGACATTAGAGGGTACTGATTAATGTATGAGCGAAACTAGCGCTGATTAATGTATGAGCAAGGCTGGTATCTTCTACATAAAAATGCAAACAATGCTCCCCTGGCTGAAGCTCTCTCTTTCAATGAGTAAAATGGCAGCAAAGGGAAAAATAAGTTGAAAAATATATATGAAATCAATATATCTGCATTAGCACTTCTCTGACTGTTCTTTCATTCCTTTCTTGCTGGCAAAGGTAGAATTTAGGGAGTTTCATTTACCTCTAGATACCCTCTGTTAGGAAACCTATATTCACTCTTTTAGATGAGTTCTCCAACTTTTATTTCAAAAGACATAGTGACAATTAATGCCCCTCAAAATATAGCTAAATCCTCAAGAAAAATCATCTCAGCAGAAAGGACTCTCATACCTATGCCAAATGGTTATTTGGCCCCACATTTTGTGGGTCTACAGAATACCAGTAAATATTTTGTAGCTTCTTATTTGATTCAGTTAATGTAACTCTTTCACAGAGCTTTATGCCTCAGCTGTTTCAAGAAAGAGTGTATGTGGGGGAGAAAAGCAGAAGGTGTTGTGGTACAATCGTCACAGCAAATTGACTTTAGTACCTGTTAGCACAGCGTGAGAAGATATCACATTTTGTTTTCTCTCTTTTGATTGGCTTTTCTTTAGATAAAATTGTCTGTGTCACCTAGGCAAGGAGATGAGCTGAGGCAGCGTCAGCGCACAGACAGCAAATGCTGTGGCACCGCAGTGCTTCAGGGGATGCCCTGACGCTGCACTGTGCAGCCTGCTCCTTACTCCCGTCTTGCAGGAGAAATGGGGCTGCCTGTGGGCTGGTGCCCGCTGCTGATGGCTTTCAGATCAGAAACAAAATTAAGTGTCTGTACAGCCAGGCAGCTCAAAAGCAGGCTGTGCTTTACGTGCTTTAACTCCAGAACAACCTCCAAATGATTTTTCAATTTCAGCAGCTCAAAACAGACGTGTGCACATGCCACAATTTTATTTTTATTTCCTGATTTGAGTACAGTGATGCAGCATTAGTGCCAGCAAATTCGTATTTGGGACTATGAGAAAGCTTAAGTCAAAATGCAGACAACAGTAAGAACCATTGCTTAGAATATTTTTTCTCTGTTAACCTGTTTGTTTGTTTGTTTCATGAATTGTAACCAAATATGGCTGTGTCTGGTTTATACAAAGCAGTGTGTAGGCACGTACCAATGTTTGGGTAAATGTGAAAAAAAATACTAATGCTGTCCTTTGGAATAACATTCCTTTTTAATATAAAGAGAGACTAGTGTGAGGATTAAACCAAGTTTAAATTCTCCTTTATGCTACATTCACACTGTCCCTAATGAGCAAAATTTAAGTCAGTGTATTTTGAAGTACAGCACAAACCTTCTACCCATGCCTGGGTAATTTCTGTGTACATCGCTTGAGTTCAAACATTACAGACTGTGTATTTTCAGAATTCAGTCTCATTCAATGTGAGGATTCATAGCAAGGTGCATTGGCTGTCCCAGCAATAGTGTTTCCAAATGGATGTCATCCTACTAATTTGGCCTTAAAATTACTTTATTTTTTAGCACAGTTGAAACAGAAGTTACTTCAGGGTGTTCTAACAAGTGATTTATATCATCCCATCTAATGATGCTTCAGGCAGTTTTTTTTTGTTTTACAAAAATCTATACCCTATACTTTAATAAAAGTAAGTGAACTAACAATGAGAGACTCTAATTTTGTAAGCAAAGTGGTAGGATCCTTTCACTCATATTTCTGTTTGATAAATGTTTTAATTATCGTAGTTGCAAGTAACGTCTGTGGACTTTTCCCATCTTTCCTTTTTAGTTCACTCTTTTATCTGTCTTTAGCTGGCACTTGAGGGAGGGGATTTCAGATGGTGAGTGGGGATTGCGTGTCCTGCTGACTGCAAGCACTGAGATCCTGAGGAAGAGCTCTGCCTGCTCGGATCGGTTCTGCCCTCCTTGCTTGTAAACCAGTTTAGGGGGAGTCGGACTCAGCTAGACTACGGCTTTGGTCCTAGCGCATCAGTTGGTACTAGCGCATCAGTTTGGTGCAAGCACATCAGTGGGTGATGCTGTGCTGCTTCACAATAGCAATGTCAGACCCTGGATTTGGCTTTTCCAGTGTGGAAGAGTGTGAAAAATGCTTGATAGAAGCAGGAGGATGCAGATGTGAGACCAGAAGAGCGGAGATGGACTGCGAAGGTGGCTGGAGTTGCTGGGGCCGTTCCTTGCCTGCAGAGGCACGTGGGGCAGACCTGAACTGCAGGGCTGGTAGTCAGGCATGAGCTTCTGCAGAGTGCCGGCGCTCCGGAGGCGATCCGCTGCACACTGCAGGTGCGAATCTGCAGCAGAACAAGGTCCCAGACCTTCTGCAGGTGTGTTCGTAATTCACGAGCGGCTGTAGGTTGTCAGTGTTTCTCTCTGTGTATGTGGTACGCTCCGGGGCTTTCCTAGGCACGGTAGGTGCTCAGTAGGTGACTGTTAAAGATGCGTTAAATGAGTCCAGCTCCTTCCCTGCGGGCAGATGGTCCTTCAGGGCTGGCAAGCTGGAGCGCTGGCAGAAAGCCGTCTGTCTGTCTGTCTGTCTGGGGAGGAGCTGTGGCTTGGCTCCCCTGCACTGCAGAGGCCGATTTCCAAAGGTGCCCCTGTGTCTCCTTCCTAATCGATAGACCCCACTAGCGAGCAGTGCCTCTGAAAGGCAGACCCGTGGAGATCAGACCTGCTGGTGAGGTTCACACTGGATGTGCACAGGCATTTTTAGCGCAGAATTATTCAGTAGAGATGATGTGGATTATGGGGCATCTGGCAGCACAGAGCTGCATCCAAGGCTGTGTCCTCCTTCACCTCTGTTCTCTCTGCTGATCTACAGGAGCTGCTTTTTTCTTTTTTTAGCTGTTTTGCACAGTGCACAGCATAGTAGCGCCCAAACTGCAAGACCAGTAAGTAGTTGCATGGTTTGGTCACAGTGATAGAGAAATACTACCTCTGCTTCTAGAGATGGGGAAGTGAAAGCTCGCTGGAAAACAAGTGAACAGTAAACAGCAGAGATGAGCCCAGCAGCTCGGACTGACCTGGAGCTCCCACCATGTCTCTCCTCTCCTGCCTGGCATTAAGGTCCCAGTTCTGACCAGTTTGCAGTTACATGCAGGGCCGTGCTTGGGGTGACCCTCACGGCAGAGTCCCGCTCATCTCCGTCCCACAGCCGCCTGAGCCGCGGGTCAGTGCTGGGGTGGCTGGGACGGTCCCTGGGAGATCCAGTTTGTGCCGCGTGTCCTCTGAGGCCACTGTATCGCCAGAAAGTTTTTCTGGGTGCAGGAGTGTTTGGGTGGCTTTGTGCCCTGGCAGACTCCTGCTACCGAGAAGTGGTTGTGTGCTGCCCAGGTTTCACCACTTCATGGTCTCTTTCTGCCAGCAACAGCAGTCTGGACTAATACGACTGTGGGACAGGTTTTTATCTTCTAATTTACATGTGTACAGCACATTGCAAAATACCTGTGAGTTTCAGAATAATATGAAGTGGCTCTGATAAAATATGCTATTATTTCGCAGTGGTCTAAAGGCCACAGGATATTTATATTAGTATAAAATTATCTCGGCAGATAATAAATGAGGTAGTCTTTTATTTGCTGTGCAGTGGGTATATTGGGCTGAAATCAAACATTGATATCTCTTAAGTTACACACTAACAGACTGCTTTGTAGTTTTATTTTTAATGTTCATAATTACATAGCTGATAACACAGTAATTAAAAGTGCAGTTAATTAATAGTGTATTTAGAGTAATACTTTATTTCCTGTAAAATTTGCCTGTTTGTTTTTCCTTCACATGGATGAAGAACCATTAATGAAGAGACATTAAAGAAATTATTCCCATTTACGCAACTTTCAGTCTTTTTTCTTCAGTAATCTCTGCATGTGTTTTTGTCCAGTGTTTCAAATGGACTTGTTCCTTGCTTCCAAACGGTTCAGTCATTTCCTCAGGAATACAAAAACATGTGGTGTTATATGCTGTCTGGCTTAAACAGATATGAACCAGAGAAAAAGAGTTGCATTAACCCTGTGCTTGTTTTTCCCTCTAAGAATTAGTTTGGAAGAAAAGTCTAAATGCCTTGAGTAACTACTTTATTTAGATACTAAAGATAAACACTCCAGACTAGATTTTATTTGGCAATTACACTGGTAGCGTGGTGCCTTTGTGTTACATGGGGCAGAAGAGTTGTTTAATCTTTACTGCAGTGTAACAGCTCCGCATTTGGTCTTACAGCATTATTTGGTCTTCTACATCCAATTATCTTCACAACATGTGAGAGCCTGCAAGGGCATCTGACTCTTTTTTTATCAAGCAAACAAACAAAACCCCCAGTATCTGCATGTTCTCTCTCTCTCTCTCTCTTTCTCTGGCTTGATGTTTTAGGCTAAATAAAGCGTATCCTTGATGCAGTGTATTTCTTTCTGAATATCTGTGTGGACAGCCTGTTTAATTTTGTAAAAATAAATGATTATGGTTGTCTGGTCTTGTTCCTGTATTAAACCTCTGAAATTTCTGAAGCAGTGCTGGCTGTCATCAGGGTCAGAAATGTATTTATCCGTGTCTGAAGTTGAGTGTGGTGTGTTGGAGCTCTGGCGCAGATGCCTTTTTCCCCAAGAGTGGATGTTTGTACATGTTTTGGATGTGTCCCTCCAAGAGCCTCAGACTTTCTCCTGCGGCCGTGAGGAGTGCTCGGGTATGTTGGCATTGCTCAAGCGCAGATCAAATGAGAGTTTGCTCCAAGAGCTGCCATGTGCTGTAATCGCACAGGGGAAGCTTGAGCAGGAGAGCCCGCAGAGGCTGGCAGGGGATCCCTGCCCTCGTGGACTCACTTGTGTGCGACATTTGCACGGGTGTTCTTCATGTTCTACAAACACGACAAATGCTTCTTTCCCATTAGTAACAGAAATTCACTGCCATCGTTCTCAAGATGATAGCCAAAACCTCACTATGCTGATGGCATGGCAAGTATAAATATTTAAAGCGTCTTTCTTCTTTTCTCTGATTGCAGCCGATGTTTTCCGTTGCACCGAGCTTAGCCACCAACGCATCAGCAGCCTTCAATCCCTACCTGGGGCCCGTCTCCCCAGGCCTGGTCCCAGCAGAGATCCTGCCCACCGCCCCGATGCTGGTGACAGGGAACCCCGGTGTCCCAGTTCCTGCCGCTGCTGCCGCTGCTGCCCAAAAGCTAATGAGGACAGACAGGCTGGAGGTAGGAGCTGATATGTGTAACTTAGTCTCACAAGTTGTATCATTTATTATGTCTCCTAGATATAAAATATTTTTCTTGTGAAAGAAAATAATGCAGGTTTCACTTCAGCTGATAATGTCGTATCTTCGTGATGGGTAAGGACGGGGAGTTACTGAGTGATCATACAGTAAGTTAATGTCTGTGGTTCTGCTTCTGACCCTCCATTGCACAAAGAAATGGAAATATTGAGCCCTTTTAGGAGAGCCGATGGCAGCAACTAGAGAGCCTCGAAACTGTGTTAGTGTGTGCCCAGAAGGTGTTAATGTGGGGGGTGCACAGCCATGGGTACCGGAGCACCAGGGGTGGGTGTAAGGGCAGAGCTTCAGCTGTCTCGGTAAAAGATGACTTTCAGCCTCAATTACTTTTGCTCTGGACAGATGGTGCCGGCGCTCCCCCGCCGGCCTCCCGCACGCGGCTTATCATCCTTGCTACAAACCTGACAAGTGTTAATGCTCTCTCGCTGGTACTCTCCTTGCCCTGAATCTTTCTTATCTGAAAGGCCCGACGGTGTTTTCACCACCTTATCGGCACTGCGGCAGCACGGGTGGTGAGCCGGCAGCCTGCCGCCGGCTGCCACGCGCTTGGGGCATGCCAGCGAGCACAGCCCTGGTCAGGTCTGGTGGTTAAAAGGCACCGATGGGAGAGGCTGAGCAGGCAGGGTGATCCGCCGTCACCCCGTTGGTCTGTCGGACACAGCAGTGTGTTAGGGAACGCGCCGCTTTGCAAGGGGTCGGCTCTCCCTGTAGCACGGCTGCTGGTGTTCTCCCTCCCCGGTGCCGTGCAGCAGCCGGCGGCAGCTGTGGTTGGCGGCAGAGAGAGCCGAGCTGTGACCTGTCCCTGCAGCTCCAGCCCTCCTGCTCTGCCCTCAGCCCATTCCCTGTGCTCAGCACCAGCGTTCCTGTAGCGTCAGTGCAGTGGCAGGTCTCAGAGATCCTGGTACTGTGACATCTCCTCTGCGTGGGGAGGGTGTGAAGGCTTGGGGCTGCGGGGGGTGGATGGGTTGTTTTGCTCTTGGATGTGGTCCCTGAACTCAGGGGGCATGATGGGAGGAGCAAGAAGGAGGTCTATTTTAAAATGCTGCCACTTGTAATTGTAATGCTTTTCTTTCTGCCCATGCATCTGCATTAACAGGGATTAATTATCCTTACAAGGAGAATTAATTCCTTTTTCTTAGTTGCATCTCTGACTGACAAGCTGCTGCTCAGAAGGCTGCGAGCTGGGAGGATTGTGGAGGGTCATCTGGCAGCTAGTGTTTCCCGCTGCTGCTGTCACTATTCTGAGAGCTCACGTCACCACAGGTTCCCCTTCTGCGGGATCACATCACTTCCCTTTTTAGAGATGTTTTCTCTGAGGAAAGCGTTCCCCAAAGCACGGTCAGGTTACAGGAGATGCAGCCACACCGAGATGAGAGCTGGTGCACGGGTGGCTGTTTGGAATCACCAAGGGATGTTTTTCCTTTGAGGACTCTGTTTTATGATGGATTAAAACCAAATCCAGAGGTGGATTAAAACCAAAATGCAATTAGATAAACTCATAAATAAATCACACTAGATTTGGAAATCAGTACCCAGAGGAGGATGCCGATGGCGGGGAGCCCTTTGGTCACAGCACCAAGGTCAGCTGCTGTGTTTGATTCTGCTTCCACCCATGTAGAGGCCATGGCGCTGGTCGGTGGTGTTGGGGACATGTGGGCTCAAAAGCTTTCTCTTCGTAAGGAGGAGCGGGACGTACCCAAAGTCCCCGAGCACCAGCTCTGCCCACGGCCAGGGAAGCACGTATGTCTGTGGGAGCCCGAGAGGGGCTGTGCAGGGGCATCTCTTCGTGTGGTGCCTCTGGGGCAGAGCTTGTGCTGGCCAGCAGACTGTGACCAAAGCACACAGGGAGCTAATGAAATTTGGGACTTCAGCATGCAGGATTTGGTCCTCCGGATGCTTGCATTCTCTTTATATTGCTATTTAGAGAAGTGATACACTGCTGAGCCAAACTCCTCTGCACAAGAGGGAGTTGTGAGAGTGTTACTCTCACAAAACACCCAGGGGCACAGTCTGCAGTAAAACCCATTTTTGTCAATTAGGAAAAGCCAGCAAAAACATCTGAAGTCAGTAGAACTTTAAAAAAGAGTGAGTGATTTTGCTTTGAACTTGTATGGAAAGGAAGCTGATGGCCAAGTTGGAAACGCCTGAAAGTAGGTGCTGAGACTTAGACGAGTGGCTCTTTTGTCACCTTTCCTGGTGAAATGGTACTGTGCAGGGATTCCTCTGGAAGCAGACTTTGTTTGCCGCAGGAAACGCTGGTGGTGCGGCAGCCGGCCGGGTCCCTGCGCGCTGGCCGAGCTGCCGCGGGACAGCACCCTGTGCCGGCGAGAGCCCCCGGCAGCGCCAGCCCTCCCGTGGGCTCAGCTCACAGCCAGAATGTGGTCAAGCAGGGCGCTTACTTCTCAGTCGTATTCCCCAGTTGACTAGCATCCCAGCTCATCGGCACCCAGCAGCCTTCTCTGCTGTAATTGCTTTTATCTCAGTGGGCTCTGCTCTTGGGAGATGTCCTTGTCCTTGGAGGCGGGCTGTCCCAGCCCTGCCTTCCTAACAGGGCCCTTCCCTTGGCTCTGCTCTAACCATTGCACCATGTAGATCACTTGAAAGAAATCCAGCTTCTTCTACCCTTTAAGCTGTTTAAGCTTTGCTTTTTATTTTGACTGGGATCAGGAGCACATCCAGGTTGACCCACTGACTCTGCAATTACACTCGGGGCTGCTGTCTTACAAAATTAGTATCTGTTGCGGGGAGGGGCTGTCTTTTCCTCCTCCTTTTTTCCCTTCAGCAAATGCAGTTTAAATAGTGAAATATGTAAGGGAGAAGATAAATTGCTAGTGCTTTCCAGTGTATTGGTTGTTTAACCTGGAGTATCTAAATTTAGTATAGAAATACCAAATAAGCACATCATTTTTATGAACAGCAGAATATTTTAATGTACTTTATAGATTACAGAAATGTAGAACTGATTTGAAAGATTTTGCATGGTCTGGTCGTTACCTCTCAGAGAAGACAGCGTGTGTCTACCTGCTCTTTAAGTGAGCTTATTGCTGTCGGTATTGTCATTTGTTATGACATGATAAGAGAGCTTTATAAGGCTTAGCTTGCTCTCCCTTGGAATGAACTGTCCTTGAGAAAAATAACTACTATGATGTTAGCATCTAATCTTGGAATATGATTTGTTCTGCTTAGAATTTTGAATACTTATTTTCAAGACTGATGTACTCTGGCATTAATTAAGTTAGCACACATGTTCTGGGATACTGAATCAGACTGTCCACAACTAAAAGCTCTTGTTACATATACCTGGGATTTTAAGGAAAGCGGGCAGACAACGCAAGTCTGTCAGGCAGTGTGCCTGATCTCCTGAATTAATATGAATATTCATAAGATAAGGTCAGTGACTGTTACTAGCAGTAGGATTGATTTCATACGTATTTGGACCGTGTCGCCTGTACAGATAGCATGCAGATATTTGGGTGTCCAGTGCGTTCAGCCACTCCTGTAAGGAATCTGGATCTCAGGGTGGAAATTTCATGGGTTGAGGCTTTTCCTACAGCTTTCCTCACGCTCCTCTCCTGCCAGAAATACCTTGAACAGAAGTGTGGCTCTTCCAGAGAACTAGAAGAGAAGCAAGAAGGACAGGGAAGTGAGAGAGAAAGGAATTGCCTAACTTTTATTTAAAATGCATGTGTTTCAGTTTGAATGCCATCATTTTCTATTAGAAGTATTCAAGAGTCAAGAATGACCACAACCAAGCTGCTGTTTCCTGCTTGTTTCATATATATCATTTTTTGCCAAAAAGCAGCAGCTTAGAAGTTCTTGGAGATTTTCAGATCTTGGGTAATCAGGAAATCTGACCTAGTGGTGCTGTTTGTTTAAACGTTCAGAATGCACTAGATAACAGTATGCCCATTGTGATAAATTCTCTTCAGTGCAGAGAAGAAGACGGGAGGTGTGACTTGCTCGTGGGAGGGCAGGGATCTCAGCTCTGCTGCCCATCTCCCTCCAGCCAAACCTCTGCCCAGCTTTTGGGTGAGCAGCATGGGACCTCTGCTGTAGCTGTACCAGGGTGGGCAACTTGAATCCCAGCAGAGTGATCAAAATAAACTCAGCCCAAAGTTAGAACAAGTTAAGTGAATTACAAGGAATTAGTAATATTGCAGCACTAACTCAGAATTTTTGCAGAAAGGCTAGAGACATACAGGTGCCTCTTTTATTTATGTTTCTTAAAATACTGAGTTGAAAATTATGATACTAATTACAGGGCTATTAATAAATAACTAAATCCAGATCTGAAAGACCAGACAATGTATCATGCTTCTGTGCCTCTCTTTACTCAAGCAGATGAGTGATACATTGCTGCATGCCCGTGGCAAAAAATAACACCATTTTCAATGCTTGCTTTTAAATAAGCAAGAATTTGAAACACTCTTGGTTACCATCACAGTGGTTGAAAAGCCACTGCTGGTTACACTGATTAAGAGGACTAGCAGTATTATGGTTTGTGTCTGACTGCTGTAAACCATCGTTCAGAGATCTGTTAAGGAGCCCTAAGAGGGAGCCATTCATTGCCTTATCTCAGCTACTGCATGACAGCTCTGTGAAAATTTGCTCCGGACATGCCAAAGATTATCCCCCTAACTATTTCAGTTTTCTGTTCGTCCTTCTTTGGTTTTTAACTGTGATAAAATTAGCTTATCTATGGATGCATTTTCTTTCTCTCTCTGTGTATATAGATACTGTTATATATATACACTTATATATGAGTTTATATATACCATCTTTGTGTTAATAATGGAGTAGTTCTTGCTTATATGTGGAGTGGTTTTGAGACCTCGGTTTTGTGGATCAGCAATACAAGACAAAGAGTGAAGACAGTCAAATGACATTAGTTGCATCCTTTTCTTTATCTTCAGAGGAAAAGACTTTAGTTTACTCCTAGACTGCAAACAAATAATCAAAAGAAATTACCCATTTTTGTCTATTTGGGAGGCCTGTGTTTGGGTAGAAGACGCTACCTGGTTCATGACCCAGAAGATATTCCTAGATGAAAGAGAGCAAGCCGTAACGCAGGCGGTGGGGCTGACCAACCCAGCACAGCTCTCTTGGAGAAGCAGTGACGTGCCAGCTCCCTTTGGTGTGTGCTTGAGAGTGAGCGGGGAGAGAGACCAGGGGTCTCCTGTGAGCAGGGGTGGTGCTAGCTCGGAACATAAACCAGAAGACAACTTGTGTTTTTTGATGGCTTAAACAGGTGCCACCTCCTTCCCCGGTTGCTCCCTGTGTTGTGCTAGCTGGCAGAGTGGTCCGCATCACTGCATGGGGACTAGACCAGGGAAGGGATCCGGCTGCAGAATTACCTGGAAGGCAAGCGGTTATTTTCCAGCTGAGGAATTTTCCCGATCTGTTTCATGTCTGCTGCAGAAACAGTTCTGCAAGCACCAAGCTGCGAGCAGTAGGGTCACGGGGATGAACGAGAGCAATGGAGGTGCCTGAACTGGCTCATTTGGCTCTGCTGCAAATACACATCCAGAGTCTGTCACCGCATGGAAAAAGACTATAGATAGGGTCATGCTGGAATGACCCTGGACAAACGGGTGTTTCCTGTGAAACAGGGTTCACAAATGGCATAGCTCTTGTCCTTCAGGGATGTCATTTCATAAGTCTTAGATGATGGGCAGCTGGTACTTGAAGCGGCACAGGGGTTAAAAGGCAGCTAGAGCACTAGCATGGATGGAAACCAAATAACAACCAAATTTGGTTTGTTGCAGGGATCAGAGCCAAGGTCCTTGAGGAAATACTGATGATCCAAGCTCATGGGCACCCACCTTTAAAAGGAAATTCCATCTACTAAAGTGGTTTTATTTTTATACAAGCTTGGTTCCTTTTGTCCCTTTCTGTTTCCTATAGCCTGTGGAAAACTAAAATGACAAACGCATTTTTGTTTGCGGTTTGCGAAGAGCTGACCGTGAAAAGAACACAAGTCATTTTTTTAAATACAGGGTTTGCAAGGTGTGTGAAGAGGGAGCCGATGTTTTTCGTACTGGTGATGAAGTTAGTGTCTGCACCGCCGGTGGGGGCTGGGGGGCTGGGAGGGGTCTGTGCCAGCTCTGGCCCGGGCTGGAGCCCACGTACCAGCAGCGAGGATGCTGCAGGGGGATGCCCTCCAGCCAGGCGGGTTTCTTCATGCAATTCCTGATTCCTTCGGCTTCGTTTGGCTGCTGTTGCGGGGCAGCAGCGTGACAGCAGGACCAACGACCGCTCTGGCTGCAGCCTCCGCTCTTTCCCAACATGTCCCACCTTCTGCTGATCCGCAGGGCGATGCCGCGCAGCCCAGGAGAGGCAGCCACCGCCACTGCGGGTTTTGGGTTGCCCTCTCGTGGCAGACGCCCGGCTCGTGGGAGCCGGTGCGGTGCTGCACGCCCCACGGGTGCAGCTCGCTCCCTGGCATGGGCGTGAAGCACCCGTCCGGTGGGGCTGCGCGGGGGCAGCCACGCAGTCATCCTCCCGGCACCTCCGGCCGGTCACCTTAATTAATGCATCGAGTGTTGCTAACGCGGGCACAGGCAGATCACAGCGGAGCACGACCACGTCCGAGCACCGCGGTGCTCGGGGTGATCTCTGAGAGCTAGCCACAGCACGTTTCTTCAGAAAACAGAAAAAGTCCTGTGGGCAGCTAAGCAGGAGCCAAAATAAAACCTGCTGTGTGCTTGGCTCTTGATCCCGGGGGGGTCGATGCTCTTTGACATCAGGAGTGGCCATAGCGAAGCCAGGTCCCTGCTGCCAGGGAGCCGAGCCCACCGTCCCAGCACCGCTGTGCTCCACCTGGGGCCGGGCACCCGTCCTCGCGGCGCTCTCACAGACATTCAGAAATCCCCACTGTGCTCCAAGCCGTGCCCGCAGCACCTGTCACCCAAATTAAGCGACTTTCTTTTCCTGGTGTCGCAGGTATGTCGAGAGTACCAGCGTGGCAACTGCAACAGGGGAGAGAACGACTGCCGGTTCGCTCACCCCGCCGACAGCGCGATGATCGACACCAACGACAACACAGTCACCGTCTGCATGGATTACATCAAAGGGAGATGCTCACGGGAAAAGTGCAAATATTTTCACCCTCCCGCACACCTGCAAGCCAAGATCAAGGCTGCCCAGTACCAGGTTAACCAAGCTGCAGCTGCCCAGGCAGCAGCGACTGCAGCTGCCATGGTGAGTTTGGAAAACACCTCTGGAATAGAAGTATGTTGACGAGAGACAATAATTGATGTGTTAGCTGTTCTTGCTGGAGGGGGGTGCGTGTGCGTGTGCTCGGGGATCCCAGTCACTACACGGTGCAATGAGCTTTCTCAGCATGTGGTGCCAGATCTGCTCTGAAGTAGTTTCAGACTGTTGAGGTGTTTCACTAATTTTGCCTGCTGACGTACAGAGTATCTATATGTACATATATGTGTGCATACATGTGTGCGTGTCTGTACGTGTGTGTGCATATATGTATATATAGTTTTTTGTATGTTTGTGTGTGGGTAGATGTGTATCTATCTAGTTGCACAGATAGATAAACCCGTATTTCAGTTACCGTAAGTCCGTATTTGTAGAGACTTGGTTCGAAGTCAATCCGACTGTGTTAACGCTATCCGTAGCCCACCTCCCCCGTCCCCCCGCCGAGGGCTGTCGGCAGCTCTCGCAGGGCACTAGAGCAAACCTCGTAGTTGTACCAGCCAGATCTGGAACTGCTCAGGAACTGGCTTCCTGGCGAGGAGAGGACGGCCCCCCGAGGGGGGCTGCGATGCCATATTGTCCCATCTGTGCCGAGCCCTGTGGGGGTGTGGGAAGAGGAGCACAGCGGGCACGCCGGGGCGCGGCGGCCAGGAGGAGCGGGAGCGGCAGCGCCGGCGGTGCGAGGCGG